TGCAAACAGAAGCAAAACATTTTTGTGCAGGTAGAGAAGAGAAATGTGTTTGTGCTTGCATCAACACAAATTAATTAAATTAAAAAGAGAAACCTCGTTTTTTTTCGTCTCCAACATCTGGCCAAGATATGCAATCAAACATTTCACTTATTTGCTAAGTACACGCATACATACGTACATTACAAGTCGTACCATTGCAGTCCTGATTAGTACGTACCAATAGTTAAGGACTTAAGGTATTAAATGGCTTGCAGCAGGGCGTGTGTGACCTGGTCTGGGTCAGCAAGCCTTCAAAGTTCAGTCTTGGATCACCCCATCCATCTGAAAGCCAAGGACCATGACCAACATGCAGCAAGGTACAGAGAGTACATTCCAAGTCTCCATCTAGCTAGCTGTGCAAGAACTAACCATGAATTTCTTGCCACTGATCAATTGCCCCGTGTTCACTGCGAGAGATAACAACAACACACAGCTGCATCATGCGTGCCTGGTCGAACTTACATCGATTATGTTATGTAACAAACCTCGGCCCGGATTGGGTGCCCACACGCAACTAAACAAACAAGAAGATGACAAGCGGCGCCAAATTTAAAACAGAATGCTTCGGTTCCAATGTACCCTAACCTATGCTGACAGCAAAGTTATATAGTTAATTACCAAACAGGGAAGCATCACTCACCGGATATTCTTCCGATCCCGATTCCATTCCGTCCACCATCTCAAGAACACATTATGTAATCAGTTCAGGAGCATTGTTGCTTGCTAGTCAGGCCCAAGGTCATTGCATTGCATTGCATTTCTGGTTAGCAGCAGTTAAGGTTACAGCTGAGCTGACCGACCGGAAACGTTGACCCCATCTCGCCCAGCAGAGTCTTGAGATCACTGGCTGGGATCATTATTCCAAAGATGAGAAGCCGGTACGTTGACCGTTGACCGGGCACAAAGATACCGCTGGCATATTCCAGCTGGCCAGCTGTGCAAGAGCAAGCCTGCCATGCATTCCCTGCCATTGATTGCTCTCTGTTGACTGAAGGAGGTACCAGAGCTACTGAAAGAGATGGCCCGTGGGTAGCAGACCAGGAAGCTTCTCAGAAGCAGCTGTCGCCGATCTCCGGCCTCACGTTGAAGGGGCGATATCTTCTCCGCCGGAAATTCTGAATGACATCTACGATGGACGTGGACTGAATTCCCCGGTTGGAGAACGACCTCGAAGCTCTGGGGCCAACTTCTTGTTTGTTTCTGAATCGCATTCACAGAAAAATTGACCCCCGGGCTGAGAGAGCAAGAGAAAGCGGCCATTTGTTTGCTCCTCCTTGCTCCTATCCGCCTTGTCGCCTTGGCTGCCAACACCAGCAACAAAACTCTAAGGCCAAGGGTATGCACCTTTTCACTTTTGTTTCCTCTTCTCTTGGGAGATTGCTTGCCGCTTTCTCTCGTGGTAGCTAGATAGCATATGCACTTTTTTCACTCCTCTTCGCTGCACTCTGAGAGGTTGCTAGCTAGCTGGTTCTTCTCTGGTGGTGGCTAACTGTTGGTGGTTCCACATGGCCGTGGTCAGCAGAGCCCGTGCTTCCCTCCCTTCGCCGTCATCGTCGCCATTGACAGCCTTCTCCCCTCGGTCGCCGCAGCCCGAGGTGGCGGAGAGGATGTTCACACGTGGAGGGAGCGGCCGGTCGTCGTCGTCCAGTGCCAGCGGGGCCAACAGGAGCGCCAGCCTCAGAGAGATCGACGAAGAGGCCGCCATCTTGCACGATGCTTATGATGATGACGGCGTAGGGAAGCTGTATGTCGCCGTCGGGAAGGACGTCAAGGACGGCAGGTCCAACCTCGTCTGGGCAGCTCGGAACCTCCTCGCCGGTGATCCCAAGCTTGTCCTGCTGCACGTCCACCAGCCTGCCGACAGAATCATGATAGGTAAAAGGGACCGGCTTTGCTTCAGTTTGACTCTTTTTTTCATCTCATATGCATCAACTTGACCATGGAGAAGAAAGGATTGTTGCTAGTAGTATGATTTTCTTGTTATTTGTGTCGGCATTTCAGTCGTTTCAGAAGCATTTTGCGTATCTATGGGGAAAAACAAACCTTGATCTTGCTGGATTTGATCCCCATCTCCATTTTCTTTTCCACCCCCTGTTTCACAAGAGAATCTGCTGAAATGATACAAATGAAATTAGCAGCAAGCAGAAGTAGCCTTCTGTTGTTCGATGTTGCTGTCAGACAGTTTCAGAAAGCACTCCCCTGTTTTCAGTAGGCATTGCAAATACTTGTTCAGTAATCTATGCTGATTCGGCTCTAATGTTGCCGGCGCAGGATTATGCAAGGTTCCAGCAAGCCAGGTCGAAGAAAAGGAGCTCAAAGCATACAGAAAGATTGAGAAGGAGGAGATGAACACACTTTTAAACCAGTACCTCAATTTCTGCAGAGTTTCTCTCAAGGTCAGTTGACTAATTCAGGAAAGGCTACATGGATTCTGAAATCATATATCATCTGTACGAAATTAAGAGTAGCAAATTTACAGATGCAAGCTGAAACGCTGGTGATCGAGAAGAACAGTCCTGCAAATGGGATTATCGAGCTCATTGATCAAAATCGCATTACAAAGCTTGTTATGGGAACATCTTCCTTCTCAGTGTATGTGCAGATGCAATGTTCCAACTTTGTAATAAGGTTTCATGAAAAAATACATTGCAATTATTTCCAACTGCACTGTTTCCATAGAGCACAGCACCATGAGTTATGTAGTTAGACGCTCGAATCCTGTATATGTAAATTTCTTATTTCTCTTTTATGCGTCCGCTGTTCTAACAAGTGGCGATAAGGAAGGGGGCAGAACCATTTTGTCTATACTTCACTTAAAACTCCCAATAACAAATAACTATGCCTTTACTAGTTATCATCTCTCCCTCTGTCTAAAGTCTAAAGTAGAAATAATCCAAGTTGTTTATGTTGATTATGAATCTTCCATGAACAGGAAGAGGAAAGTACCAAAATCAAAAGTTGCAGCCAGTGTGCATCTGCAGGCCAAACCATATTGCCAGATCTTCTATATTTGCAAAGAGGCTCTTGGTTGCTCTAGGTATGAGTGTCATGCATCCCTAAGTCAACATAAAGCAAATACTACACCGAATTTGCAAATTTCAGCTCGAGCAACTACTCAAAATTATATCTATCCTGACAAATAAAATGGTGCCATGTTTCTTATTATTTTTCAGGGAGGCCACTGAGCTTTGTGCAAAAGTAGAGTCACCCCGAAGTAGCTTCGCAAGCACTATCTCAGATCAACCTGAGTTAACTCCAAGATCCCTATCACTGCCACCAGGGCATCCAGGTCTCTTAGCCTCTACAGGCCAACAACCCCTTCCACGACGGTCCAACTCAGTCAGTTATCCCTTGTCCGGATTGATAGCAGACAGTGTAGAAAACATGTCAGCTGCAAGGCGGCAGTCAATTGATAGTCTGTTAGGCTCTACAGATCAACAGCCCCTGCCACGGCGGTCCAACTCAGTTAGTTATTCCTTGTCTGGATCGATAGCGGGCAGTGTAGAAATCATGTCACCTGCAAGGCGGCAGTCGATTGATATGACACCAACAGATTCCTCTCCGAGTTCCAGCCAGCAAAGTACTGGTGGGTCCTCATTGGGTCTGAGGGATTTGGACAGCATGGATGGTTCACCAGTGCCTGTTTCAGTTGCAAGCTCTGAAGAACATCAGCACTCTACAGTAAGCTATATTGGACTGAGCTGAGTTCTCTAAGCATAGCCGCACCCTTTTTTTTTTTTGAATTACAATAATTTTACGGCTGTGTGTACCCTATGGGTGCAGAGGTCTGGAGAACTATCCCTCCATTATTTAAACAAACAAACCTATTAAACATAAACCCAGTACTATGTAATGTTAGAACTACGTTTAAAGAGGCTTTGGTCCTAGCACAAGTGTAGAGGAAAAAGGTTGACAATAGAATGTCTACATGGCTGTAGTAACTCTCAACCAGTAGTATCTCTACTGGAAAAAATCCACTTTGTTAAATAAAATCTTACTGCTATTGCTCTATCATCTAAATTTTGATTGATCAACCAAGGTCTCAGTTGTAATACTTATTAGATAACGTTGTCATGCTTACTGAATTCAAAGCAAACATAATGTTTTACAGGTGGAAATACGTGAAATGTTTGAGCAACTGCACCGAGTCCGCAATCAGCTAGAGCGCTCGAAAAAGGAAGCATCTGAGGGCCGGCAGAAAGCCGAGAAGAACCTGTTTGAATCTTCTATGATGGTATGTTATTTGTTATTGACAGATACCTTTAGTTACCCACTATTGTTGTTTAATCTACTGTATTTTCCCAACCTTTCTTCTCTGAATGCATGGAATTTATATTACATGTATCTCTCAAGTAAGCGAACTGTTTTCTTGCAGTTCAAAGCACGGGAGAGTTCACTCCGCAACGAAAAAAAGGAGGTAGAGGAAAGGCTAACAAGAGAAAAGGCTGACCTTGAAAAAGAGCACATCCATGTATGCAACGAGCTGCAGAAGGCAAATGAGCAAAGAGCAGAATTGGAGAGCAAGCTTCTTCAGACAAACACCCTAATGGAAGAGCTCCAACAGTTGCAAGCAGAGCTGCAGCGCGAGAAGGACCATGCTGTTAAAGAAGCTGAAGAAATGCGCCAAACAAATGGTAATAGTGTATTTGGCTCAACTAGTGCTGTTGCCCTAACAGAATTCAGCTACAGAGATAGAAGAGGCAACGGACAACTTTAATGACTCCAAAAAGATTGGCAGTGGTGGGTGTGGAACCGTCTACAAGGGATTTCTCCGTCATACTACCGTAGCCATAAAGAAATTCAACCGTGAAGGCACAACAGGAGATAAAGAGTTCAATGACGAGGTAATTTTCATCATTAAGAGTAAAACGTGTTGTCAGATGAGAATAAGTAAAACAGGTAAAACGGTGCATCTAAATATGTGATTTTCCAATATATTACAGGTAGAAACACTTTCTAGGATGAGGCATCCAAACCTTGTCACTCTGATAGGAGTGTGCAGGGAGGCCAAAGCGTTGGTCTTCGAATTCCTGTCGAATGGAAGCCTAGAGGACTGTCTGCAGTGCGAGAACCAAAGAGAGCCGCTCTCATGGCGAATGCGCATCAGAATAGCTGCCGACATCTGCACGGGACTTATCTTCCTCCACTCTAACAAACCAAAAGGCATTGCCCATGGCGATCTGAAGCCTGACAATGTCCTTCTTGACAATAGCTTTGTTTGTAAACTGGCAGACTTTGGAATCTCTCGTCCCTTGGATCTGACAAACACCACTGTCACCCCTTACCACCGAACAAACCAAATCAAAGGCACAATGGGATACATGGATCCAGGATACATTGCCTCAGGGGAGATCACAGCTCAGTATGACGTCTACTCCTTTGGTGTGGTTCTGATGCGGTTGCTGACTGGCAAGAGCCCCCTAGGCCTTCCAAATGAGGTGGAGGCAGCCTTGAGCAATGACATGTTGCAAGATATAATTGACACTTCTGCAGGGGAATGGCCACCTGAGTACACTGAAGAGTTGGCAAGATTAGCACTCAGATGTTGCCGGTATGAACGAAAGGAGCGGCCTAATCTTGCAAATGAGGCCTGGGGTATCCTGCAAGCAATGATGAACTGCCCAGACGATAAATGCAAGCCACCAACATTTTTCATCTGTCCAATGACACAGGTCCGTTGACAAATAAGAAAATGAAGCACTTGAATCATGTGATGCCAGTCACACCAACAACTATCTTATGTTTACAATTCAGTCGTTACAGTAGTTAATAACAACTCTGATATAATGATGGTGGTCAGCGTCATCGCCTTTAGTTTAATAAGCTTGCATCTTCGTAATATTTTCAGGAGATCATGAGGGATCCACACATTGCTGCTGATGGATTCACATATGAAGGTGAGGCTATCAAGGACTGGCTTCAAAGGGGGCATAAAATGTCCCCCATGACCTACCTCGGCTTCACACACCATGAGTTAATACCAAACACTGCCCTTCGTTTTGCAATTCAAGAATGGCAAATGCAACAGCAACCGTGATTTTTAACATTCCATTTAATCTGTACAGTCATGTTAGGGAGTCAAGCAAATGGTTTGCAAGTGTGTATAGTCTGTGTAGAAAATTTCATTTCCCCCACTTTAGCAGTCAGCGCTTTCTCAATGTTTTGGGCCCACAACCAAGAAGTGATGTACTTACATGTTTCCGGTAACATGTGTTTGGGATGAACTGACATGGCATGTAACTCTCCAAGAGAGTGGGTATTCAGGTTCATTGAAAAGTGATGGTGTATGGACATTTTAATTCCCTCTCAGTTATGTAGAGTTGGGAGTTGGAGCAAATCAGCATGGTCCCAAAACAATTTACAGTAAATGAGCAATCAGATAAATCAGAGCACAGACGGCTTATAATAATGTGATGACCCATGAATTAGCTATGCACGTTCAGTTCTTACTGCATATACAGGCATGAGTTGATAATTCAAGGTAAGCTGCCATTTTTCAGGAGATAATAGGTACTACATTATTATCGGTACTACTCGTGCCAGGTCGGCGGAAACTGCGTAGGCAGAGTCATTTAGCTGCTCTTACTCACCTACAATTTAGCCCCAATCCACTAGCGCTAAGTTTCAAAGTAAAGACGCATCGTTTTCACAGAAGGAAGGCAAAGAAAGTCAGCGTCGCCAAACAAACGGCTTGCAACACAAGAGTAGGCACTTGCATGCCAAACAACAAAGGGTCTACTCCCTAAGATGCCTACCTAGTATCTCCCTTGAGTTGCTCTGGCCCAGCTGTAACATTTTCCATCGGTCGGGCCGGCACGGGCCTACCAAAGCCCGACGCAAAAAAACCTGGGCCCGAGCCCGGCCCGGCCATTGGGCCTAAAAATCAGGCCCAAGCCCGGCCCATCACACGAAAAGCCCACTGGGCCTCGGGCCAGGCCTCTTCATTAAACTGCGAACATGACGGGCCCAGCCCGGCCCGGCCCGTGGGCAAGGCCAGGTAGGGTCGGGCCGTCCTGGCCGGGCTGTCCATGGCCAGCTATAAGCCAGAGCATGGGCTGGGCATTCGAACAAACAGGTGGTGTGCAACCAGAAGCTGACCACCAAACCAGAAGAGAGGAGAGGAGAAGAGAAGAAGACTTACAGAGGAGGGAAGCAGAGAGGAGTTTAATTAGCAGCTTCACGGAGCAGAGAGGTCTTGTATCAGACAGTCACTCGTCCATGAGAAAGGCAAGCACTGTTGGGCAGGTAGCTCCTGCCATGTCGATGCCATGCCATGCCATGGAAATTGCAGTGGCACTGTTGGGCAATTCCTTGCTCTGCGCAAGAAAATCACCATCAGTCACATCATATTTTATACAGCTTCTTGATTAGTTTTGTCACAAACAATACAATACAAAACTGCAGAACAGATTAAACAAGGAGCAACAAGTCAAGCCGGCCTGGCCTGGCAGCAGGTGTGACTCTGTACAGCTACTGGCCTACTACATACACTATGCACAATTAGAATGGAATGAGTCGGAGAAAGGGGAGAGAATTACTAGTATAGAATGGTGTGGATGGAAGAAGCAAGTATAAAAATGCAGAGGAGCCAAGCGCAGGGGACAAGTCCAAAGCTGGCCTGGCTGAGGACGCCAAGAGAGAAACGAGAGACCAGCTAGCTAGCTATCTGCCATGGACGCGGCCGGCGACTCACCCGAGCAGTCATCCTCCGACTCCGGCGAGAGGATGAAGAAGGTGTGCGTGGCGGTGGGGGCTGGGTCCGACTCCAAGTCCATGGTGCTGTGGGCACTGCACAAGTTCCCCAAAGAATCCGGCGCCGTCTCCTTGGTGCTGCTCCATGTCTACCCCCAACCCAAGCTCATCCCCATCAGTACGTGCGTCTCCCCTGCAATATCTTTTCTTTTCCCCCTTTTTACTGGAACCACAACTACTATCTCTGCCGTCAAAAATATATGATCCCTTTGTGCAACAAGATCAACCGGGCCTCCATTTCTTTCTGTAAATCATAGTTATAACTCTCAATACAGTAAATAGTTGGCTAGCAATTTTTCAATCGTCATCATGCAATTTACGGGGCGTAAAAACTAGTGCCATTTAGTTTGGTATCACAAAAAAATATCTACTTATGACTGCGACTTTGTAATTTATATAACACAAGGCACATATTGACATAGGGGTTGATTATCAATCAAAGTCTTCTTTTACCAAATCAAAATACGCTCTATATTAATTTCGCAAAGGAGCGAGTAGTAAACCAGGGCCGCAAAAATTTATGTGTTCAATGATGTTCACAGTGGGTGCCAGGATCCCTGCTAGCCAGGTGCAGGAGCAGGAGCTGATTGCATACAAGAAGATGGAGCTACAAACAATCAGTGACACTCTGGATCAACACCTGCTATTATGTGCACAGGAAAAGGTTCAAACTTGCCATTGCCAGCTCCAAGAATGCCAAGAAAACTAGCCTGTGCAATCAGCGTCAAACACGCCGACGTTGACACATGTATCTGCTGCGCAGGTACAAGCTGAGAAGCTGGTGGTGGAATCAGAGGATGTAGCAGAGGGGCTGGTGCAGCTCATCGCCGCGCATCATGTCACTGATCTTGTCATGGGGGCAGCAGCTGATAAGCATTACACAAGGTATGCATGTGGGCAAACTTCTGACTGATCCTTTCAGAACTTGTATGGATGATCACCATCTATAATTAATTAAACACTTCATGATTGATCGCGAATGCCGTGTTGCCACACACAAAAAAAACTGATTCCGTGTTCGAGAGTTCAGGGAAATGAGAGCTCTCAAGTCCAAGAAAGCACGGGCTGTGGAACAGCGGGCGGATCCTTCCTGCAAAAGATGGTACATTTGCAAAGGAACGCTCGTTTACCGTAGGTATGGTTCGGTTGGTCGACTGCGGATGATCTTCACTTTTGTTCATAGGATTGATTACGTTGTAGCTGAACTCCAGCCTGCATTTGACATGTTTCCCTCCCTCTCTGCTTTCTCTACACTAGGAATGCCGTTCCCCTTGGCCATGAAGCACTACCGGAAGGTACTCATGAGTCTTCTGCTCAACAGTTTTCAGTGGATAGATCGACTAGCATGTCGGAGACTTGGTGTGTTTCAAGCACATGGCTACACAAACCACACGCCAGGCTGCAGATGGAAAGGACAACTCCGTGCAGATCAGACAATAATGAAAAGGTAAACACAATCCATGACAATAATAGATGAACAGTACATCATGCTATTTTATATAGCAGGCCACCAGTTTGTACTTTGGTGTTGAAATCTAATTGTGCTCCAACTTCTAGAATTCCATTGTGTCTTAACAGCAGTAGATTGAAGATGGTTAAACATTCAAGAAAATCTTGACTGAACTATTTACCTTATCTAAACCAGGAAATTGTCAAAGAAGACGAGGCTGACAATAAATTCCAGCATATGCTCAGGGAGTTGGAGAGTGTAAGAAAGCAGGCTTATGAAGAAAAACACGGTCGTGAGAAAGCAGAACAGGATTTATTTGAGGCTTTCCAAAAAGTAAGAGTATCTTAATTTGCATTTTTCAGTAATATCAAGTATGCTGATAGAAGGATAGGCCTGGCACAGTAGTGAAGTACTCCCCACTTGTGCCAAGAGGTCCTGGGTTCGATGCTGCCTCTCTGCATTGCACTGTGCAGGGGTTAAGGCTTGCCTCGTACAATCCTTCCCCAGACCCCACCTGGTGTGGGAGCTTCTAGCACTCGGTCTGTCCTTACGGAGTATACTGATGTTGATCATTGTTTCAATTTTATGGATATATGCCAGTGAGAGCATTATTTGGAAGAAGCTCTTGCTACTGTGCTTGTGAAGCACTTTCAGAAACTTTACCATCAATAATAAATTTGTACACAATTTGGAGCAATGGTTCTGATAGCTGCCAGCTAATTTTTTTAACAAATACTTTCTCACATTTAGCTTGTCTAACAGGCACGAGTCTCCGAGAATATGTACTTAGGAGAAGTGAAGCAAAAGAATGAAATCGAGGAAAAGTTGGCAACAGTAATGGAGGAAGTTGAGAGTCTCACAGAAACAACTGATGGACTTTGTGCAAAGCTTCAAGAGGAACGCAAGAAAAGATCGGCCCTGGAGAAAAGAACTGCCCATTCTGACCGTATCATCAAGGATTTGATGTTGCAGCGCGACAAGGCTGTAAGAGAGGTAGAAGCACTACATGCAAAGAAAGGAGAGTCCAGTGCAACCGCGGAGGGGACGATGCACATCACGGAGTTGTCCAGCTCAGAGATCAAGGATGCAACCAACAACTTTGACCACTCATTGAAGATTGGAGAAAGTGTTTATGGAAGCGTGTATAAGGGATTTCTTCGGCACACAAATGTAGCCATAAAGAAGTTGAATCTCGAAAGCACAGAATCACAGTCACAGTCGCAGTTCAATCAAGAGGTTGAATTCTTGCTTTAAGTTAATTATTTGCTTTCTTTCATCTCAACTAAACTGGTATTTTGCTGGTCCAAATAAATTAATGTGTTGCAGACAGTTAAGTTGTTCATGATGCCTCCTTTGCAGATAGAGATACTCAGTAGGGTGCGGCATCCAAACCTGGTCACTCTTATTGGAGCTTGCAAGGATGCTCAAGCTCTTGTCTACGAATACATGCCGAATGGAAGCTTGGATGACCGCCTGGCTTGCAAGGACAATTCTAAACCTCTTAATTGGCAGCTGCGCACCCGCATCATTTCCCATGTTTGCTCCGCACTCATCTTCCTCCATTCGAATAAACCCCATAGCATTGTCCACAGTGACCTGAAAGCATCTAACATTCTTCTAGATGGAAATAATGTAGCAAAGCTCAGTGGTTTTGGCGTGTGCCGAATGGTCACTGATGAGTTCAGGGACACAACCACTCTATATAGGCATACCCACCCAAAGGGATCTTTTGTGTACATTGATCCTGAATATGTTATGACTGGTGATCTAACACCGCTATCTGACGTATACTCTTTCGGAATCGTGCTCCTGCGCCTCTTGACTGGAAGACCAGG